ACATAGTAACCTATTACAAGCCTTGAAAGGATTTGAGTTGGTATTCAATTGCAGTAGAACTATCATGTTTTCGATCTATCAGCCTTATGCAAACTCCCAGCCGGAGGCTTCAAGCTCGAAAAAAAATGAAAGTTTGATTTTAGATCTCAAATTTCACTCAAGTAGAGAAATGAGTTAGAGTAGCTTATACAGGAGAATTTGGAAGCTTTGATGGACATAGACTAATCGAATAGTATTGATTTCTCTCCACGTATAGTACATCCTTTCTCCAATATCAGATCTCGGCCAAACTTAGGCTAAAACTTCTGAATTCTTTTGAACAAGCCACTCTCACTTAGTTCTCTATTTGAGTGAAATTTGAGATCTAAAATCAAACTTTCATTTTCTTTCGAACTTGTAGCCTCCGGCTGGGAGTTTGCGTAAGGCCGATAGATCGAGAACATGATAGTTCTACTGCAACTGAATATAAACTCGAATCTTTTCAAGGCTTTTAATAGGTCACTCTGTACTATCAAAATATAAGGCACTTTTGAAAATTAAATAGAGGTCCCTGAGAATGTTCTCTCGTTTAGTCAAATTTAGCCTTAGGAAGGTACTATTGTGGACGCAATATATCGAAAACAAAAGAGTTTTCAGAGCTAAAAGTTTTAGCCTTTTATATCTTACTTAGAGGTTACATTTTCACCAAATTTCATTGAAATCTAATATGTCGATTGAGCACTATTTGGCGTGACTATCATGCATTGGTTCATAGGCAGTTTGAGCCCTTTTCAAGCAATATTAGGTTAGAAAACTAAAATTTGCCTCAAAACTAATATCAGATTCGTAATCAGCGTTAAAAACTGACGAGAGAATGGCCCCAACTGACAAATCGCTGTTTCTGGAAGAACTAGTGGATTATAGGCAATTCAGCATGCTGATTCTGAATATCACAATCATTTGGGCCGCTAGCCCTTTATTATTTCGATATCTGCATAATCCCGTTTTGTAGCCATATGACTTTTTTCGAAAAAATCATTTTATGAGGTGTTTACATTAAAGAGGGTATCTCAAAACCTACAAACTCGTATTTAGTTCATCTATCAAATGATTATTGGTGACAACATAACCGATAGAATTCTATAAAATAAGAATTTCCTATCGTTTCACTTATTTTCTCTTTTAGCGGAGTAAATTTAAATAACATTTACTTCTTTTAGAATTTTCGATGTTTCAATTATGAAGACACCAAAAAAACATTGTTCTGGTTCACCAGCAATATTCTATGAGGGCGGCGAATATTTGTAGAATAATTTTGGATCATAAATTGAAGCGGTAATAGAAAATATTTTCGTGTAACTATTGTTAATGCGAAGACAAAAGAACCGTTAAAACCTCTCATTCAATGGAATTCTATCCGTTATGATTTTACCAATAATCATTTGATAGATGAACTAAATACGATTTTGTAGGTTTTGGGATCTCCTCTTTAATGTGAGCACCTCACAAAACGTTTTTTTCGAAAAAAAAGTCATATGGCTACACAAAAAAGAGTCCAGGTATCGATATAATAAATGGCTAACGGCCCAAATGATTCGTGGGCGGAAAATTCATCGCACATGCAATTAATTGTGACAAGGTTAATGTGTAGGTACGACAAGCTTTTATCGATAGAATTTATTTTATTGAAAAAAAGAAAACAAATCTGTCTATATTGATACATTTGCAGCAATGTTCTTCAAGTATTCGCTGAGATCGACGTTACCATAATCAGTTACCAAGCGTGTAATTTGACCGTCGACTTCTCGATATGTTGTTTTATTCGACTTTGATTCATGGCATTGACGAATTCGAGCAATATCGATTTCAAATTTTGATTTTTTAACTGGGATCTTTTCGGTTAACTTGAGACTTGTCGAATGAGCGGTTGAAAACCGTTGTACAAACGCATTGTTCCAACCTTCAACAGAATTATTAGAATGTGAACAATTAGAAATTAGCCCATCATAGACATTCCAAAGTTCAATTGAAAATTGTGGTTTCGTGCGGCCAGTACCTATAAAAATTTATTTCGATTCATATGCGATTTTCTTGAATGATCTCACCTCTGCTTCTTCCCTCTTCAAACCAGGTTTTTTTTCAAAGTATTGAACGATTTCGTTGCACACGAATTCCAATACTTTGACAACATCTACAAGGTGGTGAATAATATTATTCCAGGGGAATAACGGTATAATTGCGAATAGTAACCATAATGAATTTTATATCAAATGAAAACCCGTCAAAAACGGGATCTACAGATATGACTAGCCATTCCTAAAATAAGAATGGACCGAGAAAATAAGGAAGTTTCAAACTTTAATGCTAAGGTCTAAATAATTCGTAGTTTAAACAAAGTTTTCTTTTTCGCTTTTAATTACTTATTCTGGTAGATCTTGACGCGCTGGTCATTTTAGTAAAAAGAGTTTTTGAATTTCATTGACAAATAACTATGCTAGAGTCAAAATACTGAAAACATTATGGTTTTGCGATGAATAAACCTGGTAGATGTTTTTCGTATTCCGATTCTAGCTCCGCTATTGATCAATGAAATTTAAAAACTTTTTTACTACAATGATCAGAATGAAAAGCTCTACATACTTGAAGACGCACCACCGGGAGCTTGACATTTTTTAGTTGGCCACTGGCAAAAAGATCTAACTATGCCACTAAATTTTGAAACTTTCCTTATTTTCTCGGTCCATTCTTATTTTAGGAATAGCTAATCATATCTGCAGATCCCGTTTTTGATGGATTTTCGCTTGATATAAAATTCATTATGGTTACTTTTCGCAATTATACCGTTATCCCCCAGGAATAATATTATTTACTACCCTGTACAATAGGGACAAAAGATAAAGCAATAAGCCTTTTAATGTCTAAATGGAACCACTTATCCTTCTGGTGTTTGTTTTATAATCCGTGGCTTTGAATGTTTCGCCAAACGCACTGGCCAAAGTGAAACAAACAGCCTAAATGGCAGCATANATTATATTTTCCTAAAGAACTCTGAAAGTTTGGTATTATGCTACGGAACCTGTTTTCGGTATGCTGAACTTAAAAAAAGGTTTAGCAGTAGAAGGTTCTTCCCTCCGATACACGGGAAGATTCTTTAATGGTTCCGTAGAAATTTTTATTGCGTTTTTGTTATCGTGAACCTGTCTGAAGACTTTTTCGTAACCACGGAACTTTTTTTGAGGGTTTAGTAGAGCACTAATTTTTTTTACAGTGTAGTTTTTCTGAAGTAGGATACACTTTTTCTCGAACAAGTTTATGAAATTCAAGTCGAATTAAGTCTTTCCCTTGCTCTGATAAAACAATATTCGGACGACCAGAATGCACTAAAACCAGAATAGTTAACTTTCAAACTGTTCATAGAAAAAAATCTCTCACTTTTTTCTCAGGAAATAATGCTTGAGGAACAAGATGATCGACATGATTTGTTGATGGCTAGGTAGGAGACGCAGTATGTCGACGACAAAGAATTTTAGCTTGTGCATTCAACGTTGAATACTGCTGCCGTTTGAGTGTTGAATATACAATAGTACAACTACGAAGATTTTTTACACTTATCTCTTCTTTGCTTTTCTCTTCCACCTCTTTTCGTTCCTGTGATATCTTCTTTATTTCTTTACATCTTGAATGGTGTAATTCATGCGTTAATCTATACACCGATCTTTCTGATATATTTAACATTCTAACAAGACGCTCTTTCACGTTATAAAGTGGAATGATTGGACCATTCTTCTCACTTTCAGCGAAATCAATAATATGAAACATTAGTTGTTTCACTTCTTGCAAAAACTCATGACCTGTTAGCATTGTAGCTAAATATACTATCTATAAGATAAAGCATGTGCATATCAAACAGAAAAAGAAAAAAAAACGATTGAGAGAATTATCGCAAACATATACTATTTTTCCTTTCTTTTCTCTATTTTGTCATTATATATAGGCAAACACACTCTAAGGGAGTGACTAAGTAGTGTCATATAAGATTTCGAAAAGCAATAATTTTCTTTTATATCGCTTAGTACAGTAAAAAAACTTGTATTTTGCTTATACTTTGATCAAATTTTCATCTTCTAACGCGGAATGTCTTAAGTGTAGTTTCACCGTTGAAATATTTCTGATATTTCCAGTGAGGAAACTGAGAAAATTCCTTCGATACCAGTGTGAAGTGAGCATGTTGGGGTACCAACATCATGAAAAAAGTCCTAAAAGAGATCGTCTAATACATACTAAATTTCGACAGCGAAAATCTATTTGACAAAATACTTTGAATGGCGACTTTCCCACACAGCTATCTGTCCCCGACTCTTCTCTATTGAGTGGTGAAAACCGCAGTTCGAAATAACTTTTCAATCAAAAGTTATACAACTTTCTTCCACCTATCTTTTTTTTATTTCGATAGTAGGGATATTATTCCATTTTATTTCTCCCAGTAAATAACTAAATAAATAAATGAATAGAATAAACATTGATAACGGGAATGTAGCTCAGTGGTAGAGCACTCGACCGCAAATCGAGAGGTCCCTCGGTTCAACTCCAGGCGTTCCCTAATTTATTTTTCTCGAATCTTCTTATTCTATTAATTAGATTTAGATGAATAGTAAAATAAAAAAATGTCCTTCTATTTCATTTTTTTTTTCATTTATGTGAGTGAAATTAAACAAAAACTGTTTCATTTTTATATATTCTCCGACAAATAAAGATTACAACAAACACGTGCTATTTCATGCAAAACGAATTTTTCTCACTTCCTTCGTTTATGACAAAAATTTACCTTTACACTGATTTGTCAATATTAGCCTCTATTAATATGATGTCTACATACGTATACGTAATAACGTAATTATATGTTCATGAACAAATGATAAGATTATATATCTTTTTAACTTGATACTGTCTGTTATTAGAACAATATATTCAAACACGTTTTGGTAATGAAGAAATCTTTTTATTTGTCCTCGCTACTTTATCTATTTAAGGGTTTAAATGCTCGTTTTAACAAACTTATTAGAAGTATTCCATTACAACTTAGTTTTGAATATGTGCGTAAATCAAAATTCGATGAATTCTATCAGGCGATCCATTTTAATTCAGAAATCAAAAATCAGATTTCGTCGTTAAGATTGTTGAAGGTGTGGATGTGAATATAGCTTTTAACTCATACTCTTACTCTAGCACGATTAAACAACGTCGTTATATATCATTGCGTCATCAAATTGAAAATAAGATGAAAGCACGAGATATATCGTTAATCGATTAAATTTATTAGAAAGAGAGTGATACGTCACCTTTTTTTCAGTATTCGGGAGATTATTATGAATGCACGTGCTGTCTAATGATTTTTTTGTACTTCCTTTTCCGCTTATTTATAGTGAAAAAAAAACGATATATTTGAAAACAATATATACATATTCAATACTTATGAATAATAATAGAATTAACTATGGAACAGACTCAAAATTTAGATTATAATATAAAAGAAAAATTATCAAGTAAGAGATTCATTTTTTTGCAATTGTTTACTCGATAATTTAAAGTTTTCAATTTTAGTGAAAATAACAAAATTTGAAGATCTATCAAATGAAATAATTTATGAGGTTTTCGACTATTTAAATCATCTTGAAACAGTTTATTCATTTTATGATCTTAATGAAAGATTTCAAAATTCCCTTATTAATTCAAACTATCCACTTCACATTAATATCTCATCAATATTAGCATCGAAGTTTCAATTTACCATAACAAATATCATTAATTCACATTGTTATCGAATAAAAACACTTCGTTTATCAAATCCATTTGCTTCTGATATGTTTCTATTCATCTTTAGACAAATATCAAACATTAATCAACTTCAATCATTAATTCTTAGTCAAATTTCATATGATAATTCTTTAAACAAAATTATAAATTCTCTACATTTATTTTCAAAGTTAATTTCATTGACAATAAAAACAATTGATAAAGTTAGAAACCAAAATGATATATATTTAAAAATCTTTCAACTATCTTCTCTTAAATATTGTCGATTGTCAATAAAATCTTCAGAATTACCAGTTTCTGTACCTTTGGCTACAAATCAATTAAGCTCAATTGAATATTTAAGTATCGAAAATTGTGTTTCAATTACTCAAATGAATAACTTATTATCATATATTCCACATATTCGTTATCTAACATTTGAAAACGTGGCTGTAGACCTTCATTCGCATTATCAAATATTTAATACATATAATCAACTATTCAATATAAATACTTTAACTAATATATCTCTTCAATTGTATTCTATTGGTTTTAATCAATTGGAATCATTGTTCAGTGATGTTTATTATCATATTAAAGTTTTACGTCTTTCACCATGTCTTAAATTTCAATCTTTGGAATATTTAAATGCTAATCGTTGGGAACAATTAATTAGAAATCATCTTCCAAGTTTACGTATCTTTGATTATTATTGTGAATTTATCTTTCACAGATACTTATCTAGTCGTTTTGAATATAAAGCCGCCATTCAACAATTTCGTTCTCCATTCTGGATTGAACGACAATGGTTTTTTCAATCTGATTGTGATCACCAACAGCTTTTTGGTCGTGGATATCATCCAAAAATATATCGTCATATTATGTTTTATTCAATAAATTCATCAAGGTAAAAGAAAAATTAATGAATCGCTCTTAAAACGTTGTATTTCTGTCCTAAAAAATGAGTACATTACCGTCCAGGTCCACCAATACTAGATCTAGATCCAGTAGGGTCCTATTGGATCCGACGAATTGTAACATGAATCTGCAAAACACCATTCAGAAAAATGAGAAACTATAAATCTTCCCTTATTTGACGCTGCTTCTGAAATTATGCTCCTCCATTCTTACTTATGAATACTGATTCCCAACGATTTCCACTTTGAAGATGACAGAATATTTTCATTCTACATCACTAGAGTCCATCAGAGAGCACAATATTGAACATATTGCAACAACAAACCTTCAACAGCTAGCACCCATGAGAAAACCCTAGATTTTCATCTAATGATACGCGCCTTCAGCCGAAACCCGTCCAACCCATATTTCACGTTATTTCAATCATTCACTTCAAAACCTAAAACCCACTCATTATAGTTTCATCATCCCACAAACTACGACGTGCGCAATATCCATCCTACATCTCTCTTCCTACTTAAAACCTACGCAAAAGTTCATAAAGAAAAATTTATATACGAAGTCTCGTATCCATCAACTCGAACCATAAAACCTGATAACACCAACGAACCAACATCAGGCTACCCTAGAATTTTTTATCGGAAAATATCCAAGGAAATCTCACCACTGAAAAAATAAAAGTATAACGATTGGATGTATAATCGAAAACAATCCAATAATTATCGTTCTTAGCACGATCGGAAGTGTGTTGGAGCGTTGTTTACTGTTGACCTACTATTTATGTCTATCAGCATTCGAAAACAGTCAAAGTTATATCAGATGGATAATTGGAATTTTTAGTGTATGTGACTTGTGGTGTTTAATCATAAGGGAAATAGACGGAATTATTTAGTCACTTTGATTTTATTTTTTTAAGTTCAGTAAACTACAGGAATTTTGCGTATCACAAAAGAATGGAATATTTTTCAATTTGTTCATCGGAAAAGATAAGTGAGATTTGTTTTCTTTTCACAAGTACATTTGAAATTATTTTATAAAATTTAATTAAAGTGTATTCAAATTCGAATTCGAAATAGAGCAAGAGATCAGAGAGGTTGTCGATACTCCATTTAAAGCCAGACTTTTATATGATCTCGTCATCTGAAATCAACGTCTTCTATGAAAACATGTTATAATTTATTTTTATCACATTTTTACTTAGGTGAAAATCGATTAATATACCGAAAGTTGATTGAAATCAAAGTTTCATGTATAGTTAAGATGAAAGTCGGCATTAATCAGAGGGTTTTGAGGGTCACTTTATATGGGTAGACCAAGTGAAAATGAGATAAATGAAAGATTTGAATGCATAAGGAATTGTGTCCAGATTGAAAGAAGTACAAAAAGAAGCAGATACCACCAGACTGGGAATCCGAGAAAAATCGGATCCAATATCGGATTGGTCGATCTGAGTATAATCGGTCAGTGTATTCGACTGTTCACCTCATATTCGGACAAAATCCGAAATTTTCGCATTTATATCTTTATAATTTTAGACGAAAATGTTATATTTTATCCAATCAATTATACGAAACAAGTATTAATTTAATCAAACATCTTCAAATTCCGAAAATATACTTAATTATAAACTTTCATGATTATCTTCCTCATGTTACTCAATTAACTTTTTTAAATACTTTCAAAATGCCTCGTTACGATTATTATTTTATTCCAAACAGTTTGAATCGAATTATTCCATTAAAACAATTAACAAAATTAACTTTACATTGCTATTGTCCTTTCTGTGGTATTATTGAATTACTTTATCTAACATCAAACGTTCATACATTAGAACTGGATTCATTTGATAAACCGAATTTTCTTTCAATTGAAAACAATAATACATTTCATTTACTATTACATGCAAATCAAATCAAAAATTTAACTATTCGAAAAGTAGTCATATTAGATCAAGTCAAATTACTTGTTCATCTTTGTCCTCAACTAGAATCTTTGACAATTAATTTTCATCGAAATGATTTAAATTCAATTATACAATTTATTTTATTGGAAACGAAATGTCATATTCGATATTTATCATCGTTATATATTTTAAAACGATTTAAAGATTTTTTAAAATTAATCAAAAACTTAATTGATTCAGAAAAACTTCTTGATGATTATGAGATAAAAATTATCAATGGACGAGTTTATTTATGTTGGTAAAATCGAAATACGATAAACTAATATTAAATTTTGATTGAATTAGAAAAGGATATTTAATTGTCTAATGTCAAAATTTTAGTTAATTGGTTTTATCAATAAATCGTGAAATTCTTATAAATTTCACATTTTAACTAAAACTGAACGAAATAATGAAATAAAAATTTTTTTTATGAAATTTAAAATTCATCATTCTTACATATGAAATATCGTAACTGTAATTAAACGGGAAAAATAACAGTATGTGGCAATGAGTTACCCTCTCCCTCTCTGTGTATTTATATACTTGTTTTCAAAGAAAAAAGTATTATCCTAAGGGTGTGGGTGAGGGTGAGTGATATGGAGCATGAGTTTGAATTCTGCAATTCATCCTCGCCTACATCTACACCTACCTAAATTCGGAATCAGGTCTAAATATATCACGAACGCCCTCAAATTGTCTAACAATTGAAAACCAAAACCGAGTGACGTTTCCAATATACGAAACGATAGAGAAAGCGACGCTCTACAAGGGCCACCAAAGCACCAGGCAGTCAGTCAAATTCGGCAGGCGTGCGCTTTAAGGAGAGCAAGTTGATGGAGGTTTGCATCCTGGCAAGATTCATCTCACAAGATCGAGCATGCCATTTGTATATGAGCGGATAGAGCGGAAGACAGGCAATCAGAATATGTATATATAGTTGGAGTTTCGATCTTGTATGGAGATAAAATCAGGAAAGCGTTGCCAGGGAACCGCTCAAACTTTGCTATTTTTAAAATTGTGATCTGAATCCTATACAGTTAACATAAGCCTAGTTCCTCTGCAAACTTCATTCAACTTATTCGTACTCTTACAAACAGAAATATATGCCGTGACGAAATCACGATTTTCTTGGCCATTCATTCTTAGGAAAGTTAGCTATAGTTTCACTGAATGGGTGATGCCTATAAAGTACTCACAGATATTTCTGAAAAAAGTATCTTATATGGTGCTCGTGGTATCTCAAGAATCCCAAAATGAGGCAATAATTTTTGCATTTTTCGAAAATCGCCCAACGAGCTCCACTTTTACGTAGACAGGCCGTGATGCTAGGTAATCTGGATTCAATCGTAAACATTTTCCATTATGTTATCTTCTCTAATGCACCAATTGACTCATCATTTTTGGCATATCTTGCCCAAAGTTACTTATGGTAACCTATACTACATTTGTAAAAAAAGACCACCTTCAGTCTACTCAAGAACTCTTTCCCAGTACATTTTATGTCTATCAGTGAAACGAAAATCGTCTGTACATTTTTCACAAGTGAACCTCTCGTTCCTCTTCTCAATAGCAAATAATGCGTGATCAAACCCTCAGACAATCGTTTTTCTTAAAGGGACATCCCTTCTATGGAAAAACCAACATCGAATTCGTGATCCTCGACCCCCAAAACCCTTTTCATTGCCTAATTAGTAATTAGCTACTTGGGATTTTGAAAACCTAGTCTCAGATTCGAGCTTTCCGCTCTCGATTATCATATTAGTAGATAATGCTTGATGAATAGCGATAGATTTCGTTGATTTATGGAATGCTGCAATCTGATTGGACTATACAAAGAAATACATAAACTTTAAGCAGCCTATCATCCTTTCTTTTAGAAAAAGTAATAAACATATTAAGGATAAGATCTAGCAATTTTGTTTATTAATGTCATATTTATGCAAAGTTAAACAGTAACGTTTATTCTTATGATTTCTTTATTGATCTTTTGTTTTATTTGTAAAAAATAATAAGAAAATAACTCGAATAAGAAACTTAACTCTTCTTTGTAATAGGAAAACGGATAATCATTATTACATAAAAGAACCAGAAAATAAATTTACCTAAAGTAGATGGATAGAGGTGAGGAAAAGAACAAGATGTGGCGATGCACAGTTGCTATCGGTCAATGGGTCATGACCTGAATGTTGGATAGCTATGGGACACTCATATAGTTGACCGATCGTCCTGTTCGTCTTCCTGGCACTCGTATACCGTTGGCAGATCATAAGCTATCTGAAAAAAAATGGATCGCTTGCCCGTTGAATTGTTGAAACGTATTTTTCTCTTCATTGATCAATTATCAGATCTCATTCGAACTTCACTTGTTTGTCAACAGTGGCGATCATTGATCGTAGATGACGAACATTTTCTCAACAAATGGTTTCATCTATCATTGAAGTTTTCTCAGCAATCACCTCGCAGTCATTTAACAACCAATGATGGTGATCGTCGACAAGGACTAATTCTTAACCCCGATCGATCTCTTTTCCTTCCGAATTTACAATCAAGTGAATGTTATCTTTTACAATTGATGGATCTGTTTGATCCTGATGATAATGAATATTTCTTTGAACAACAATATCCATCATTACTTTTTAATGGATCTCATTCATTTTCACTTTGGTTCTTCTTACCTCATCAAGGTGAATTGGCTATACAAATTGGCACTGCTAGTATTCTAGACTTGCATCATTGTAGCCATGATGGACATGATGGTCATCGATGGAGAACTGGTAATAGTGGTAAAATAATAATGGATGATCGATGGATACATATTGTCATAGGTATTAGCGAATCACAAAGCTTCTATCGTATATGGTTGAATGGACAAGACTTCAAGACGTTTAATCTTCATTATACATACAATAAACATACCAATAGAATCTGCTCTACGAGTGCAATTACGCTCACATGCAAGCGCTTCGAGCGTTCAATACAATCACCGATCTATGCTCGTATTGCTGATCTTGTTGCTTTCAAACGATGTTTATCAACAATAGAAATTCGAGCTATTTATGAGCAACAAAAATGTATTAGTCAAGTTCAAGTCGGTACTTTTATGAGAAATGAACGAGAGAGAAAACAAAATTCAATCTCATCATAATCAATCATACATGTAGATCTATTTTAAATAGGTATTGTTTTTTTTATATTAGTAGACAAGAATAAATACATCGAAAAAAGTTTGCTTCTATAAATGACCTATATACTTTTCTAGAGATTTACGAATGTCAGTTCAGATGCTCGCATGTATTGATAATAAATTAGTATTGTTATTTATTTTATTTGAAAAATATCATTCACTCAGAGATAATGAAATACATTGATTGAAAGTTGTTCCTAGATGTTCACACCGATTATTTCAAACGCACTAGAAAGCATAACGAGTGTAGTACAGGAAAAAAAAAGGTATTTTTTAATTTTGCATATTCGTGTTCTTTACTTTGTCACCGTAAAGAAAATATTTCTACTTGATCGATTGAAAAAAAAAGATTAATTTATATTTGTATTTCGATTGATCCAAATCGAGAAAATACTTCTTGTAACATAATGATTTAAATCATAAATAATATCTAAATCAGATATTTGTAGTTTTACTTCACTTTCAAATATCACATCGAAATCTGATCGTGAATGAATTCTCATGTATGTTAATTTAGATAGATGTTTAATTAAAAGTAAAAGATCCAATTTATCTGTTGAAGATTGAAATTGTTCCAAATTAACAAATATTTTCACAGAAGTTTTCGAATTTATAAAAACTTCTATTTGAATCATCAGTTATACACAAGTTTTTAATAGATTCGCGTAAATATTGACATAATTCTATATCTTCGAATAAATGTGTTAAATAAGATAAAGAGATTGCTAATGGTGATAATTGCTTCGCACATTCAAACATTTCTTTGAGTATATTTTTCAATAGCGAACATGTTGTTATATGAGAATAACCAAGGAAATCATATGAATTATAAAACTCTAACGATCATAATTTTCTGTGGAAATATTACTAATAATCGTTGAATATATTCTATACTCTTAAATCTGACCATATTATTGACTAATTCATTCTGATACGTTTTCTTATTCGAATTCAATAATTCAAGTTGAAATGTATTTGATGGATATGGAATTGCATGTGCAGATTAACCCTGATATATCTTCTGATAGAACATATTCTGTATACCAATGATCTTCATAACACCAAAAATGATTTAGACATTCTTTCAGAATGATTCCATCAATATTCATCGAGCTATTGAACTGAGATTTAAATCTGAAAATTTTTAAATCTATTGAGAAACAGGATTATCAAGTTCGCATCGGAAATTCTTAATAATGAATGTCTTGAGATCATTGGCGTGAAAATTGACACAATCGATATCTTCTATTCTAGTGTCGATATCGTCATACTCGACAAGATTGATTTTTAAGTAGTTTAGTTTCGGTGCATCCTTGAATAGAGTATCTAATATATTCAAAAAGAAGATAATTTATGCATATATGGTAATAATAGTTGGAGATTTTGCCAATTATTTTCCGTTATTCCATTCATAGATAAACATTGAAAATGAAAGAATTCTAAAAGTGAAATTTTCGAAAGAAAGAAGTGAATTGGATAACATGAATTCTCGTTGGATAAATATGTTGAAATAATTTTTTGTTTGATTGCTGCATTCGTTGACATTTTAATACAACATTCGTCGCATATTGATTTCTTGTGAATATTTTCAAAAATGAGACATAAGGAAATAGTTCGAATAAGTGTGTTGAAACGATGATTTAATTGATCAAATGCATAGAATAGATCAATAGCATTGAGTTAAGAGTTCATTTAGTAAGAATTCAAACAACATTTTGGAAACAATCATCAAAAAGTCTGTAAATCATCTTGTCAGGATGATTCAGCAACAACTAACTAATCAAATGAAATCCTATTTTACTATAATGTCAACAACCTTGTCGCGCCGCATATATTTATATGAAAGAAAAAGTCTTCTTCGACATCGATAAGCAAATCTATTTTCTTATCACCGTTCTCCTTAATAAACATTATTCTTGTTCAGATTTTTATGACATTCTATAGGTATACGCATTATGATCATAAACTTCGATTTTATTTTAAACTTATATGGTCAATTATGTTTTATCAATTTTGATAGCTCGACACGCACTTCAGTGAAAACAACCAAATTCAGAGATGAAGCATACTGTTGTGTTTGATTTAATGATCTATATAGTTATTTATGTGATTCTTCATTTTAGAGAATCAAATCGAAAAGAAAAAACTTCTTCGTACGTGATATGATTAGAACAAAAGTTCCTTCTCGTGAATCCCATGAATTTGTATGAGAAAGTTAATTGATACTATCATATCTCGTGTCGAATTACTTGCAAAAAACTAGTCGTATAAGCTTCTGATGGAAGTAGAAATACTAGAAAATGCAAAATAGATGAGAAGAGAGATACAAAATAACTAATCGTAAACTCCACGGATAACGAGCAGATTGCATGCATCCAGACAGAAACGATATGATCAAACGAGGTAATGTCAACAATGCAAGAACCAAAGGACTGATCAATAAATGTTTATGCTCCGAAAATTGTTTAAAAAGGTGTTTCTTTGTATGTTTGATTTCTTCGCGATGTCGATCGTTGTCGAGCTGTTAAAATAATATTGATGAATACTGGACTAAAAAAGTGTAAAATATCCATGGTTGAATTGAAAATCTGTAGAGCTTTCGAATAATCAGCCGCACACCAAGTACGCTTCTCTCCAATACCGTCAATGAGACGGCGATAAATGAGATCATGTCCAGACATTTGATGTTGCAGTTGCTATGCTATTCCAAGGTCAGGATCATGTCCAAAGTAGATTATGTACGTGGGCAATTTATGTATATTGCCATTCTCGTCTACCTAATCTTAGTGCTAAAGATTCTATTGCATATTCTTTTTATAATTCATTCGACATGATTAAATCAGCACTTCCATTTCTAGGCGATAGTCCTCATAGACTCGAGATTCTTGCTAATAATCAAAAATTAGCTGGATCGAGTAAAAAATGTATGGATTCATCTTTTAGAAGATAATAATTGATATTCTCTATTGCGTTTGTGAGGATACAGTGTACCTAAACATAGTATTATTTGATGATCGTATTCATACGAAATCGTTAGCTTCGCTTGCAGACACTATTTAGCAATTATTTTAACCTTTTCAACTATGTATCAATCGCGTATTAATGGTTCTTCTAATGGATGTCGTTATGCACATGATTTGATGAAACCAGTTCTTGTTTTCAATATATTTTTGTTTAGACCAGTTTGTACTGAGCGTTAGTGCTGCTCAAGAAACCATTTCGCAAGCAATGAATGATTTCGATTTCACCGATTTCCAAGCAACATTGAAGAGTATCAAAGATTATGCTCCAGCGTACACATTGCCATCACATTCAACCCGTTTACAAAGTACGACACATCACGATTTTGATGAAAATAAATTTTGTAAGATAGGAGATGGCTTTGTTAATTATATTTTGCAATCATTGGACGATCGACTTGATACAGCAGCGAAAGAAATAGTTCAAAATCTGTGTGTATTTTCTTGTCCATCGACTCATTCATCCGAAGAATTATTAAGTAATCTTTTAACACAAAAATACACTAATTTTTGAAAAAGGATTTGCACACATTTTCAGAAATATCTGAAGGTATTACAACAATCCCAGCTATTTTATCACATTTAGCGAAAGTTGATAGCGAACAATGTTCTGTACGGTTTCGAGTTTACCAGATACTAGGAACCCTTGTGATCAGTTTAAATGAAGCGGAAAGAACGCGTTCAGCGCGTTGCGAAGAATTAAAAGCTGGCTAAGAAGTCGATTATCCGACACGAGAATTGAAATATTAATCAAATTATCTAGTCTTAAAATAGAATTAACCGAAGGTGCTATTAATTATATTGTTCAAGATTTCGTGAAAAATCCAGGCCCTGCAAGATCTCGTAATATAACGTTGTGTTTGGAGAACGATGCGTTTGAAGGCGGTGAAGAAGATTTGTGGTTTTTTTACCTTTATGAGCTATCCTTTTTATTCTGAGATACATATTATAATTTACTTGCTGCCATCGACGTATTCAATCGTAGTTCGTCTTGTTTGACATAAAGTTTTACTTAGACAGTGTCATTTGAAGTAAGAGTCTATCGTTACTACTAACACATATAGACAGAAAGACTTTCTGGCAAAATTTTGCTCCTCCCGCTTCAAAAAGTAATCGGGAACCCTGCACACACGCTGAAAAACATGCATGACGATTGCTTTGGCTCGAGTTAATCCTTAAAAGCCGATTGTCCTCTCCAAAGGGCATTGGCCTGAGTGGAATAAAACACGCAATAAATAATATTAGTAAAAATGCCATATTTCTTCGGACTGAGAACATATTTTACATCATAAAAATATTTAAAAGATTTTTTTTGATACGACATGAAAGTTTGCTTTCTCGAACGGCATCGCAAAACGAAGTACCCGGCAAGCACTTGAAACTGTCGTGCAAACTTTTGATCGATTATTTTGAGGATTTTTAGCGTTGATAGTGCCTTATAGCAATGAAAAGTCAAATAAGAGTGTACCTCCTCTCTGCCATGGTGAAAAATATTGATTCTTTTCTAATCTGAATGTCGCTTACAATAGACGTGCTAATCTAGGCTTCACTCTAAATCTTTGTCCATACTTCTGATCCCGTTTTTTTTCAACAATTCAACAACCACTTCATATTCAAATCAGATTTGCTTGCTCAACTAGAGGGTGACCATCTTTTCGCAGTTGATGCTAATCATATCGCTCATTAGCACACTGTGGAAGCAGTATTTTAATCTAAGGGGAAGCTCGTGAATACTGTAAAATATTTCTTCATTTAACTGTTTTGTATAGAAACTTCTTTTTAAAAACATCAATACAAGTTACTTACTTTGGACCGCTAAGACCTAATGTTCTGTTCAGAGGATATTATGCATCTCTGCTTAGAGAAAAAATTTTCTTTTTTTTATTTAAGTATAGTCATGTTGGACGTTCGAAAGCTCCAGTCTGATGAGCATTCTTGAAAATTCTCATGGGAGTCCTCTTCGACTTTTAAGGGTTCATCATTTAGTTGAGGACCAAGCGAGTCGATCTTAACGAATGTTACTGATCATGTTATTTTACTGCATTTATTTGATCAACTTTTCTCAGCTTTCTTTACCTACAAATACTGATGAAAAGTCATGGATTTTCTTCTTAGTGATGCCAAACAATGATTAACTTATAGAACTGTGCATTTCTCTTCTATGGAGAAAAGAGAAGGAGGCATATCCCTTTCGAGTTAATGGGGCCCACCGGTGGGCTCCATTGTATTTGAACAAAAGTTTCAATAGAAAAACACTTTTTTTCTTTTATTTTTAAGCGGGGGGAGGGGAGTCACACGTAATATGTCATCTGCTCTGCCTTCCTTATTGTTTGAATTATTTACTGCATACCGTGATGCTTCTCATTAGAATAATCAAGACAATAAAATTTGTTACAATCAGAACAGAAAGTTTTTATTTTCTTCGTCGTTGAATGACAAGCTTCTCTTGATTGTTGTTCCCTGTTTTTCTCGTAACAACCAGCGCAGCGTCTTCGTACATTGCGTGTAGATCCTTCCATTTCTTCGAGCTCGTGATCAGCTAGTTTGCGCTTCAATGAACTTGTTGATTGTTGTCTTGGTTCAGGTTTCAAATTCTTGGATGGTACATCAAGCAATAAAGATCGCACAAGACTCTCACGGATCTGTAGGATGCTTGTATTGCCAGTTGTATAGTTTTCTTTGTATATCAAATCGCTATTCACTACCGATGTGCCAAATATTAATTCAAATGCCACCTTGTGATACCATTTTATAGATCGTCTAAAGCATGTATAGTATGCTGATAGCTGATCAGATAAATCTATACCTTGTTTTCCTTCATTATAATCGAGGACAACTTGTGGTTTCATGATACGCTCATTTAATTTATTAATTTTCCTGGTATCCACTACAACTGCTGAATGCGATGGTTTTGTGGATATCATCAAAACGTCTCTTTTATCTTTCCACTTGATTAGTTTTATACCGTTTTTGTTTTGGAGTCCGTAAACTTCACCACGCTTCAGCTTTTTCTGAACGATTTCCTGGCCTGATACAGCACGATTACTTTTGAACGTGCCAATCAGATACGTATCATTTTGCAAGAAACGTTCTGCAAGAGAAATACTTGTAAAGAAGTTGTCCGCGACTATAGTATGATAACATCCCAAAAGATCTTCTGATAAATTCATTACGACTGTTTGAGAATGTCCAAGACCAGTCGTTGGATCCTGCTTTCCGGTATAAAGGGTAAAAGTCCAGGTGTATCCATTCGTAGCCGCTAGTTTGTATATCTTTATACCATATTTGTGCACTTTGCCAGGAATGTATTGTTTAAACAAAAATCTATCTTTCCATGGTACCATTGTCTCGTCGATAGAAATAGTTGAACTGGGAATATAAATCGACTTAAATCGGTCTTTCAATAAATCTAACAGTGATTTCAATTTGAACAACCTATCTTGGTCTGCATGCTTATTTTCATTGTTCGAAAAATGATAAAATTTGAGAAGTAATTCAAATCTATCTCTTGACATTGTATTTTGAATGACTTCGTATCCATACAACTTGCTTTTGCTCCAATAATAATCCACTTTAGGCATTTGTACCAATCCCATCTGAATAACAACTCTTAAAAATTGAAGCATCTCTTCATTAGTAATTGGTTTCCATTGAAGAGTTTGTGATCGTTTGCTAAGCTCATTGGTTTGTAAATGTTGTTCTGCATATCGATTAGTTTCGTGCACCATGCGGCTAAGGATTTCGTCGGTGATGAAATGTCGGTAACAATCAATAGGATTGATTGTATCATCTTCTGAAGTTGTCGGTACTTCTTCAACAATTCCATGGTCCTCCTGAAATTCAGCATCCGATTCTGATTCTATTTCATTCCAAACTTGTGAATTACGGTCATCATCAGAAATTTCTTCCTCGGAACTTGATGATTCAAATTGCATCCTAGCAAAATCATCATCCAAAGAACTGACATCACTTTGAGAATTCCTGCTGTCTTCAGTGTCGGTTTCTTCGGACGACATGTAAATCAGATCAAAACTTCGATTGTTTTGATGCAAATGAAAGGAAAGAGCCAAAGGTAATACTTCGAAAAGAATGCAAAGGAAAAAAATCGAAAATTCGTTTCGTTATCTTATTCCTAGTGAGTTATACGTACAAGAAAGAGAAAGAAAAGCATGAATAGTTATTCAGCTACACGTGAAAAAGGACCATCTATATACTGATACAGATAAGAAAAACAAAAGAGAATGATAGCTCATACCAAAAAGACCAACAAGTGCATTTATCGAAAGATAAATGCACCTAGAAATGAATTTATTAAAGGCAACAAAATATTTGATTAGTTGAAAAGATGAAATGATCAGTAAAATAATATAGAAATGATCAGTTTAAAGAATGAATGATCAGTAATGAGACTACCAGTAGATAATGTGAAAGTGATCAGTTTATTGAATAAAGGACCAGTAATAATATCAACTTTTTAGCAGTAAGAAAGTAGATTGTGATAAGTACAAAAACAAAATTTGATAAGTAGAAAAGAGTTTTTTACCAGTGAATAAGATGAAGTATAACATAGAATACAGGAAAAACTAGAGTAAATTTATTGTACCAGTAATGCAGGTTTGGCTTTTGCTGGTCGTCCTCGTTTCCTTTTGCTGTTGATTGGGATTGTTTTTGCTGCTGCAGGTGGTTTGCAAATTTTCAAACGAATAGCCATCCCGACCATATGCTTGCATATGTAATTTTTTAGAAAAGCTGGACAATTGCATTTGGATGTTTTCCAACTTAAACCATCTATCATTTCCAAACACCAAATATCATATGATTTTTCGAAGAATTTGAAGCTTGTCCATTTTTGTTTCGTGTATCTTTTTAAATCAGCTTGAGAAATAGATTCTAAATGACGTGCCGGTATATAATATTGTTTTGAATCACCGCTTTGAACACAGATAATTGCTTTAGTGGTTTTGGCCCATTGGTATGAAGAAGTCCATAATCGTAAACATATTGTTGGTTCTTTAGCAAACACCTTAGCGTTTGTTGACGATAAATCACGCTCAACAGACCAATTATGAACTATAGTTGAACTAATTGTCAAAAATCTTGATAAGACGTGACGTTCTCTGAATGTACCATCATCTTTAATTACTCGATTGGTTGCCTCTAAGGCATTGTTTGTAGATGGCGTATGAAACTGGATTCCTTCATACCAACCACTATTCGATTGAATCCATTCGTTATCAAAATAATTTAAAAAATCTTCGATTGTCTGATTGTTTTCTTGCTTGTTATTTCTCCATTTTTGAAAAATAGAGTTGTTGCTAATTTAAAGACAGCAGTAGAATTGCATAAGTGGAGTAATTCAATATCATGTATAATTTCTTTGGCTTTATCTTTATCGTCTATATGACATACACGATTTTCAACTTTTGTTTTCATATGTGACCAGCACATTATCTGGTTATATTCGTTATTAAATACGTTTTTGAAACCATTTTTTATTGCATCAGCGGCATCAGCCACTAGTGCTGTCGGTTTAAGTGATTCTTTCTTCATCTTTTGCATACCAACTTGTACACTTTTGAAGATAAATTCAAAATCTTTCGTTTTTTCATTGGAACATATTGCTAAACCAAAGGGATGAAATACCTTGTTTAAATCAGTTGTACCAATTATTAATACTGGATAACCCTGCCAGATCAATTTGTACGTTGCATCGGCATTGATATGTGATGACATGGAAGCGATGGTTAACAGTCGTAATGATGAGATAAATATACGAAATTTATTTTCAGTAATGTCTTCATCGTCGTCATCACCTTCATTATCTTCACCTTCATATATTATTTGATAAGAAACAACAAAAGATTTATTTTCATCAACTGGAACATCAAGATTCATTTTGCACCATTCTTCTAATTCTCCTAAACTAATAATATAAGATCCAAATTTTTTCTTTTTATATTGAGCAAGATAATTTTTTATCTTTATAAGCGATGGTATTGTTACATTTCGTGCTTGTAATGCTCGAATAATTTGCTTTGGCTTCGTAATACCATCATTAAATAATTCTTGAATAGATCTTTTGACACTTTCATTGATACCACGAATTTCTTGTTCATCGTGATCGTGAACATCTTCCGTTTTGTACATGGACACTTTGTCACTATCTGCATAGTATAATAAATATATACTTGCACGACATTGGGGACCACGGAGTTTTGATTTTTTGCACCGGTAATACACTTTTCTTCCAGTATCACTTCGATTTGTATAATGTTTTGACCATGTAAGTTCAACTGATGCTTGAGCTTCATCAGCATTGCTAAATTCAGCTTGTTTAAACCAATATTTTTTTTGTCTTTTTTTTGTTTTCTTATTTGATTGTAAATCATTATCGTTTGTTTCTACTTCATCATCGGATGATTCGCTCATGCATGGAACAACCTTTTGTGTATTCATTCTTTCTGTATTATTTGGATAAAGTTTAAATCGAAATGAGGATAGAATACATCTAACTCGTCAGTCATTTATAGTGAACGCGAGAGAAAAAGGAAAGATAGTAAACAAACGACAACTCGAGCACACCCTAGTCCGTTTTGACTTTTCCACTGGTTGTTTAGTATAACTGACTGTTAACATATTTTATTTACTAATCATATAATTTATTAAACGGAGGTTTTATTTAATAACTAATCATTTGATTTGTTTACTTACCGTTCAATATATTTACTGATCATTCACCTAATCAACTGATTTTTGAATATCAAATTTTACTGATCATTTTATCTATTTTACTGATCGGTTAAATCCATGCCTTTATTAAAGGTATTTTCTAAAAAAATTCAATCGACTCGAAAGGGTTAACTTTGAATTTCTTAAATTTCATCATGCAGAGATCTATACTGCCTGATGATTCATCATTTCATCGTGATGCAAACCGGTTTGTGGTAGTTTAGTTCAAAACTCACCCTCATCCGCCCACACCCTCAAATCAATTCTGAAAATGAATATAAAGAAAGAAAGAAATATATGAAAGTTTTCAAGAGTATTATAACACATCGATTATTGTAAATAGATGATATAATTCTTTGCGCATGGACTTTACTGCATCGTTTCTAGAAAGATATCATCATATAAATAATTTTAAATCTTCTTAAAACCGTCCAAATATGATCAAAAATATATTTTTTTTGTTTCAATTCATATGAATATTGCGTTTTTTTCTGTTCAATCTCCTAAGTATGCATGTTTGTTCTATTGCTTCACTTCTTTTTTGTATGCTCATCACGCGTTAAAAAAAACCATGACTTACCATTTCGCTTACCATCTGCAAGTTAATAAAGAAAAAAGCATTATTTATTCATATATAGGTTGTTTCAAAACTTTCCAAATAAAGAAAGGCTACTTTATTCAGTACTTCAAAGAGAAAGAAAAAAGAACATATAGAAATTAAAACAGAGAAAAAGAAAAGATATTTAAAAAAGCATTCCTTAACAACAATTGCTTATAGTTTCATTTTGCCGTTTATACATTCTCATCACATCAAATAAGTTGAAATCTGACTAGTTATGGATTGGATAAGACTACTTATATTCCTTTTGCTTATTACTCTTGAACGATCACTTGCACAGAATACACGATCATTTAAAATGTTGATTATGAATGGATGGCAATTTCAATGTGTTACAACCACTTGTCTACCTTATACTACTATTACAGCATCAAATATTTTTCAGTGCCAAGCATCTTGCTTAGCACAAGTTCAATGTAAAGCCGCTAGTCTTCAACGATCCACTTCTGGCTGTCAACTGTTTGATAACACAATGAACCAAAACGATCCTATGGATGCTAACATGGATATTATCGGTATGACAGTGATTTCTGGAACAAGAACACCTCCTGGTAAGTTTTAATCGAACGCATTAGAATATATGTCGGACATTATTTTTAACACATTATAAGTTCCGACTTGTATGAAAACTCAAAACCTCCTGGGAACTCCAAGGGGCTCCGAAAGACTCCAAGGATTTCAAAGTACTCCAAAGAACTTTCAGAGTTTCCAAGGACTTCAAGAGGCTCTGGGGTGACTCAAAGGGTTCTCAGGAGTCTAAAGAATTTCAAGAGACTTCAAGGAATTTTAAGAAACTCGAGAGTGACTGAAAGGGCTCCAAAGAGCTCCAACGAATTTCAAAAGATTCTGAAGTCTTGGATCCTGAGTGACTATAAAAAGGAGTCAAATCTAGTTTTTCCTTCTTCCTAGCCACATTCAAGCTATTTTCATAATAAAATTTTCCGAATTCTCCCTACTGAAAACAATGTGGAGAATAACGAAGCATTAAAAATTGTTTCTTGTTACTCACTTTTTTTAACAGTGCAGTAAATCCAATATATACGTAATAAAAACATAGCTAAAATAATTTTTTTATTACTCAAAAACTGATTTGATGCGTTACAGCGATTTCCGGGAGATTCATTTTCAGCAAATATGTTAAGGTAAAGTCTTAGCTAGGGCATAATGGGCAAATGACTCCTTATAGCATTTACCGGGAAATTATATATGTTTTGGGTACCAGCTGATTTCCCGGGGATTGAATCTGTTGATCGAACAAACTGAACAGTCTGAGCAGCTCTAATTCTCATATAGGGCATAATGAGGCATAATGGGGATATTAGCCGCTGAAAAGATGTGATTCAGTCTACTAAAGGAATCTATCTTAGCGAGGGTGCGGGGTGGGTATCGATGCCGTTTACGCCCATTATGCCCGATTATGTCCCATTATGCCCCATTATGCCTCATTATGCCTGATTATGGAAAGACCCTAGTGAGCATTAGACCCATTTCGGCGATTGTGCACTTTCATATTGGGTATTATAGGCTTAAGTTAGAAATTCCCGATTTCCCGGAAAATGCTATAACACATCAAATCCCAATTCGAGAAACACCTTTGAAGTTTGGGTAATTCTTGAGCATTAAAAATATCTGTGGTAGATAGAAAAGCAATTTCTATTCGTAACTTATCATTCTACATTTTCATTTTCATATTTTCTTTTTCACAAAAGAGCCAACTACAACATCAACTGCAGCCTCAACCTCAAGCACAAGCACAAGCTCGGACACAACCTCAACCTCAAGCACAAGCACAAGTTCAACCTCAACCTCAACAACAACATCAGCATTAACTAGTGGTATGTAACTACTGAAACTAGGGGTGGACCATTTCCGTTAATTTGAAATTAACGTAAACAGTAACCCGTTAAACGTTAATATTAACGTTAACGGTTGATATTAACGTTAATATTAACAATTAACGGGTTATACTTAACCGTTAATTTCCACTTTATTAAGTAATTAACGTATAAAAAAGATCTTCTATTGCTTCAGACGCAATTGTAGATCCCTCCTAACTATGCAAATATAGATTCCTNGATCGAGATGATGTGGCTGGTTGTTGACCAATTGATTGTGTTCTTGCTGCTGATCGAGATGATGTGGTTGATTGCTGACCAGTTGATTGTGTTCCTGCTGCTGATCGAGATGATGTGGTTGGTTGTTGATCAATTGCTTGTGTTCCTGCTGCTGATCGAGATGATGTGGTTGATTGTTGACCAGTTGATTGTTCACCAGTTGATTGTGTTCCTGTTGCTGATCGAGATGATGTGGTTGGTTGTTGACCAATTGATTGTGTTCCTGCTGCTGATCGAGATGATGTGGCTGGTTGTTGACCAATTGATTGTGTTCTTGCTGCTGATCGAGATGATGTGGTTGATTGCTGACCAGTTGATTGTGTTCCTGCTGCTGATCGAGATGATGTGGTTGATTGTTGACCAGTAGATGTTGTTGTTGATGATCGTCGAGATGATATAGTGGATTGTTGATCAGATAGTGCTGCACTTGATTGCGTTTCAGATAATGGTGCAGATGGTGCACAAACCCCAGTAGTATGACGTCGCTTGGTCATTTTAGTGAGAAAGTATTTATTTTAATTGTAAGAAACGGTAATCGATTCTAATGAGATGTGTAGGAATGAAAAGTCACGAGATAAAGATTTGAATTCGTCGAACGGTCATTATGATAAGAACAGAGAAAAATGTTTTTTTGGCTTGGCACACTGCACTTCATCAGTTAAATATCTTTTGACCGTTTGAAACAATTGTTTTTAAAAAATGACGGCATGATGCCGTGTTATCCGAACGAGAAAAATGTTCTTTTGAACTATAGAGCTAAATTTCGCTAGCGCGTTTTCATTCATCAAGAGCTATAGAATTTGGACAAAGATAATCTTAGCATATTCTACACGCTTTAATTGTAAATTATATTGGCTCTTCAATAACTAGAACATCTTAAGGTCTAAGAATAATTAGTCTTGGTGTTCTTGATTTCTTCAATCTTTTACTGCGAGAACCGTTTTTTTTGTAACTTTAGCTATTTGATTATCACTTAATTAATGATTAGTTCAGTCTGTGTCATATTATTTAGATACTGTCAACACAGAATAATATTTACTGATTAAATATAATTAGGAAGGGATTGCAAGATAAGAAAGAAATGAAAAGGCAAGAAAAGCGTACTGAAATATTCGCCTACTGGTCAGTTTTCCAAAAAGTAATGATATATATTTATCAGATACAATTTATATAATTAAAGATCTCTAAAATATGGAATTCAGTTCATCCGATAGATCTATCTACTTGTAAAACTTTTATTTTGATAATATTTGCTTTCAATTTGCGCTAGTCTTTCAATATGATGATATGTATGATAATCAATAAGATGTTTTATCAATTGAAATTTGTTACAGGCTCTTTGATTTTCAGTAGATATTGCAATGGATAATAAAAACTTATTAGTGATATTCATAGCACCATTATGAGCATAAAACTAATTCTGCTATATTTATAAAATCTCGTACTTTTTCAATGATAGAAGACAATACTTTAGCAATACATTTATTTAGTTGTGTAAAAAACCGTATATATATATTTATATAATCATACTTCGATGCTGTAGGACAGAAGATTTTTGTGCATGCTGATTTGCTTCAAATAAATATCGGTATACTTCCTCAAAAAATTTCCGACTGCATTTTTTCTTTAAGATGCCAGTTTAGGTTTGGTGATTTTCGGCGCGTTTATACATATACCATGGATCACCTTCAATTGTACAAGAAAATGCTATCTAATTATTGCTTTGCGACAGCAAATTTGTGTTATCTGACTTCATGCATTTTAATTAATACTTCTGAAGAATTGAAAATAATACGTATTTTAATATTTAGAATCACCGTCTTTCTCCTAAACAGATGCCTTATCCAAAATATCCGTATAGCAAGCAAGCGTTTCGTTGATATTTATAGTATATCATTTATACAAAAAATATCATACATGTTTCGTTGAAACACTTCAGTACTCTTGTATTGACAATCATTATCATTAATGAATAAGTTGTATAAAGCATTAGAAGCATGATTTTGCAATCCAAATTTTGCTTTTTTATCTATTAATAAAATTTAGGAACAGAGAGGAAAATTTTCTAAATCAAGAGATTATACATAGGTTCACAAACTTATGGACTAGATAACGCTATAGAAATAGTTCATACGGAAACATTTCATAATCGTAATATATTTTTCCGCTAAAAGATGAGTCTAAACTCAAACTCAAACCTAAACTCAATACCCAAACTCAAACCCAAACCCAAACTCAAACCCAGTACCCAAACCCAAACCCAAACTCAAACTCAATGCCCAAACTCAAACTCAAACTCAAACCCAATACACAAACCCAAACTCAAACTCAAACCCAATACACAAACCCAAACTCAAACCCAAACTCAATACCCAAACCCAAACTCCAAACCCAAACTCAATACCCAAACCCAAACTCCCAAATAGTTTGGGTTTGAGTTTGGGTTTGGTGCATGTCTAGATATATGTGTATTCATGATAGGTAAAACTTTTACCGGAAGTCACAGGGTATTTAGACCCAAATTGAAGCGAAAAGCTGAAGCAAGATCTACAAGGAAGAAGACGGATTTCTCAACAGGAGCTGTCGAAGAAGGATTCGCAGCGTAAAGTGTTAGAAAAAGAAAGGGATTTTGCAGCGGGTACGCCTGCTAGCAATTTATATTCATACTACCAATACAATTTGCCATTTGACTTCATATCGGAACTATGTAAATGTATGGTAGATAATAGCATAGGTTGTATAGAGTCATATTCTTTCACGAGAGAACAGCACAAGCATAATAACAGACACTACAACAGAAACAGAATAGGACCAATTCGAGAAACGCCTTTGAAGTTTGGATAATTCTTGAGCATTAAAAATATCTGTGGTAGATAGAAAAGCAATTTCTGTTCGTAACTTATCCGTCTACATTTTCATTTTTATATTTTCTTTTTCACAAAAGAACCAACTACAACATCAACTGCAGCCTCAACCTCAAGCACAAGCGCAAGCACAAGTTCAACTAGTGGTATGTAACTACTGAAACAACTGTCTTTTACTTTACGTTGAAACACATGCTACTAAACTAGTCCGAAAAAATCTTTCATGGAGAGAAATGCTTTTGGTATGTTGCTAAACTACGGCGAAGTTTCCGCTGCCCACAATAAATTAGATTGTTTGTTTAACAACGTAAAACTTCAACCTATTTCAATATGACGGCTCCGTCGTCACGACCAAATATTTTGTAGCTTTAATTCAGTGTATGATATCACCCCTTTCCTCTATAAACCGATAATAGATATCTAGCTAGTTTTGCCTACCGTAATACAAATAATTGATATATACAAAATAGAATTTACCATACTGCTATCAGATTTTATAACACCATTCAAATGTTACTTTCTGCCTACATGAAAACAATAATATAAAAGAGAAATAAACATAGTACAGATAGCTTCAAACCCAAAGTCAACTGAGTCGTGTAAAATATTCTTCCGTTCATATTTGATCATAGCCCTAATACCAATAATCAACAGAATTCGAAGAGAATACGTTTAATTGAAGATACTGAGAACTTCAGCCTAGATTTTACTCCATCCTACGAAATCGTCTTCACAGCTTTGGTGCCCACCTCATACAAATATCTAAAACTACAGTAAATTTTGCATGTGCACACTTTGTTTTCTAATAAGCTCAATTAACCGATATCTTTATGTGCTCATAGAATACAATAGTATGTACCTCGCCAGTGTTAGTTACTCAATTGGCACTAGCCCATACTCAGTATCAGTTATCGATGTAAATGGTGACAACCAACCTGATATAGTTACCGCAAACTATGGTGCAAATACTACTAGTGTTTTGATCAATACAGGCGATGGCACCTTTTCTTCGCAAGTTACTTACCCAGTTGGTAGTTATCCAAGATCAGTATCAGTCGTCGACGTCAATGATGACAACAAACCTGATATAGTTACTGCAAACGGTGGTGCAAATACTGTTAGTGTTTTGATCAATACAGACAATGGCACATTTTCTTCGCAAGTTACTTATTCAACTGGTAGTTATCCAATGTCAGTAGCAGTTGTTGATGTAAATGGTGACAATAAACCTGATATAGTTACTGCAAATAATGGTGCAAATACTACTACTGTTTTGATCAATACAGGCGATGGCACCTTCTCTTCGCAAGTTACTTACTCCATTGGCTATAGGCCAACATCAGTAGCAGTTGTCGATGTGAATGGCGACAACAAACCTGATATAGTTACCGCAAACCAGGGTGCAAGTTCTGTTAGCGTTTTAAGGAATACAGGCAATGGCACTTTTTCTTCTCCAGTCACTTACTCAGTTGGTAGTAGTCCATACTCAGTAGCACTTGTCGATGTGAATGGTGACAACAAACCTGATATAGTTACCGCAAACCAGGGTGCAAGTACTGTTAGCGTTCTAACGAATATCGGTAATGGCACTTTTTCTTCTCAAGTCACTTACTCAGTTGGTAGTACTCCATACTCAGTAGCAGTTGTCGATGTGAATGGTGACGACAAATCTGATATAGTTATCGCAAACCAGGGTGCAAGTACTGTTAGCGTTCTAACGAATATCGATAATGGCACTTTTTCTTCTCAAGTCACTTACTCAACCGATCGTGGCCCAACATCAGTAGCAGTGATCGATGTAAATGGTGACAACAAACCTGATATAGTTACTGCAAATAATGGTGCAATTACTATTAGCGTTTTAAGGAATACTGGCAATGGCACTTTTTCTTCTCAAATTCCCTACTCAACTGGTACTGCCCCATACTCGGTAGCAGTGGCCGATGTAAATGATGACAATAAACTTGATATAGTTACCGCAAACCAGGGCGCAAGTACTGTTAGCGTTCTAATGAATACCGGTAATGGCATTTTTTCTTCGCAAGTTAATTACTCAACTGGTAATAGCCCAGTATCAGTAGCAGTTGTCGATGTAAATGGTGACAACAAACCTGATATAGTTACTGCAAATAGTGGTGCAAGTTCTGTTAGCGTTTTAAGGAATACAGGCAATGGCACCTTTTCTGCTCAAGTCACTTACTCAGTTGGTAGTACTCCATACTCAGTAGCAGTTGTCGATGTAAATGGTGACAACAAACCTGATATAGTCACCGCAAACCAGGGTGCAAACACTACTAGTGTTTTAAGAAATACAGGCAATGGCACCTTTTCTGCTCAAGTCACTTACTCAGTTGGTAGTCGTCCATACTCAGTAGCAGTTGTCGATGTGAATGGTGACAACAAACCTGATATAGTTACTGCAAACAATGGTGGAATTACTGTTAGTGTTTTGATCAATAAAGGCAATGTCACATTTTCTTCGCAAGTTAATTACCCAGCTGGTAGTCGTCCATACTCAGTAGCAGTTGTCGACGTAAATGGTGACAACAAACCTGATATAGTTACTACAAACAGTGTTGCAAATACTGTTAGCGTTTTAATGAATACAGGCAATGGCACTTTTTCTTCGCAAGTTAATTACTCAACTGGTAATTATCCATTCTCAGTGGTAGTTGTCGATATGAATGGCGACAATAAACCTGATATAGTTACTACAAACAATGTTGCAAATACTGTTAGCGTTTTAACGAATACCGGTAATGGCACTTTTTCTACGCAAGTTATTTACTCCGTTGGCTTTAGCCCAGTATCAGTAGCAGTTGTCGATGTAAATGGTGACAACAAATCTGATATAGTTACTGCAAATAATGGTGCAAACAATGTTGGAATTCTGTTTCATTCCTAATACCTGAATGATAATGAGACAAGGTGCATTTATCGAAATGTTAGTTTGATAAACTTATATGAATCATTTTGACTATTTTCTAATGTGTCGTAATATATCCCGAAAAAGCCTTCTTTTTCTCGTTGTATGAAACCTATTATATGTGCCATGTGTTGTCTGTGTTGTGTAGCTGCTCTCAATTATCTATTGTATACTTGAAGGTTTCCAAATACCATAATTGATGGAATAATTACCAGTGCGAAGTCTGTTTGATTTGAAAGGAGTGTCAGAAGCTGAGAATGTGGGTGAATGGCTGAGTACTAGGGATCATCGGGACCACGATTTTTTAGTCCCGGTCCCGTACTGGTGCCGAGACATTTGATCCCGGTCCCGTACCGATCCCGAATGTTATTTTCGCTGTCGGCTTTCTACTTTTATGTTATTATAGTTAAGTGACATCTGTTCTTTACATATCTGATTGACTGACCACAGAAACAAAGAACACAGCTAAAGTGTTTGTAGTTTTCATATGTGGGCACTTACGAAAGTAATAAATAAATTAAATTCTCGCTTTATAATGACCAGTGAGATTACAATAACATCCACCGTTTCGTCTGTGAGTTTGAATACAGAAAAACAAAATAATACAAAACAAAACCGACTCGCCACTGAAGCGATGATCAAACAAAATGATATTCGAGTCACACTGGTAGAGAGTACACGTAGAACTAACAAAATATCTTCAGTTTGGGAGCATTTCAAATATATACATGTGGATGGTGTTCGCCAAGAATTTGTTCAATGTGCGGATTGCAAAGTGATTATCGGCTTCAATACAATGAACGGAACAAATGGATTGAAGAAGCATATTGACAGTTGTTCGAAGATTATGAATTCGAAAAGCGGCGTTCAATCGAATATCACTTCACATTTCAAATCTTTTAGCAAAGATTCTTCATGTATTCCAGATCGCTTTATCAAGTTAATGATCAACACAAGTGTTGAATATTGTGCTCTCGATGGTCGATCATTTAAATCCATCAAGGGTACTGGATTTCAGCAAATGATACAGGTGGCATTTGATGCTGGTCGTGCATGTAACTCTGCAAATCGTTCGATCGACGCCAGTGCTTTGTTATCCTCTCCACTCACAGTACGATATCTTCATGTATTCATTAGTTCCAGTTTAAAGGATTTTCTCGCTTTTAGACAAGCCGCACAGTCGACAAGATCTATGATTTCAGACGAGATCAACTATTGGAGTACGTCAAAAATTTGAAATCGTTTGCCATCACAATGGATATGTGTACTGAAGGACACACCGGTAAGATAATGCGACCATAAACATGAGAAATTTTCTATTTTCGATATCTATATTATTTGTTTAGGAATCCACTATGCCGGAATATCTCTTCATCATATTGATTCTAACTGGCAACTACACGTTTTCATTCTCCACCTAGCGCCATATGATCGTGAAAGTCAAACAAGTGTGAATGTTCGAAAATTTGTCGACGATCGTCTCGCCGAATTTAATTTGCGTTTGTCTGATGACAGTTATATTGTAACAGATAATGAGAATAAAATTAGAGGTGGCACTTTAACTTTAACTTTACTTTATAAAGTGCTTAAAGTTTAAAGTTTTTACTTTAACTTTAAATTCAAAGTTAAAGTATTTTACTTTATTACTTTAACTTTAATTAAAGTACAGGGAAAAATTGAAAATATTTTTTAGCCCGCCCTGTTTAATTTTATGTGGTTTTGGATAATAATTACAACTTTAAAATTTCTTTAATTAAAGTTAAAGTAACTTTAAACTTTATTGAAGTTAAAGTTGAAAGTTGAAAGTTTTTGTCAAAAACCACATAAAATTAAACAGGGCAAGCTAAAAAATATTTTCAATTTTTCCCTGTACTTTAGTTAAAGTTAAAGTAATAAAGTAAAATACTTTAACTTTGAATTTAAAGTTAAAGTATTTTGCTTTAACTTTAATTTTGAAAGTAAAGTTAAAGTGCCACCCCTAAATAAAATGAAAAGCTGTTTTCAATCGGGAACAAAACGAATTGGCTGCGCCGATCATTATTTGAATAAGTTAATCGAACACGCTTTTACTGGGAACCATTCTGAAACGCGAGAAGTTATGAAGATGTTCTCATCTATCAAGACGCTTGTGGCACATATTCGTCGATCACATCGGCAAAGTAAGTTACCCACCAAAGTGCAATCTTATTCGGATACTCGTTTTAATGGCGCCTTTATCATGCTTCAATCATTTTTGAATGTATTCTACGAACTTGGACAAGTTCTTGAACGTGAACATTTGATGGAATATGCGACCATTGATGAAGTAATCGAAGAGCTCAGTTATTCCAAACGACCCACAATGCATCGAGTGATACCTCTTCGTCAACACCTTATCGATTGTTGCGATCCACATGTTGATGATCAATCAGGGTTAGAAAAGCTGAAAATCTATCTCAGTAATAAATGTTCATTTTTGGACGCTTTGAGCAAACTAACAATGATTTAATTTCTTTTATAGAAGATAAACTTCAATCGAGTTGGCCTGTTGAGAATGAACATTTTTTGTGTACAGTGCTTCATTCGAACTTAAAACGATTTGGCGGTAATCTTCAGTTGCAAAAGCAAGCTATTGCTCTACTGGAAACATCGATTTCTGTCGCTGATCGAGTATGCACTGATTCAGTCATCGATTCTTCATCCCTCTCATCATCTTCCTCAACCTTCATATCTAAGCAAAGAAATATTCTCTCGAAATGTGTTGAGCGAAAGACGTTTGTGACTACGCCTCACAATGAAATCAAACAGTGGATGGATAATGATGTGCAACTTGCTGAAGGCGATGATGACATACTTGGGTTTTGGTCAAACTACGCCAAACGTTATCCAACTATTGCTGCTATAGCTATGAAGGTTTTAGCAATCCCTGCTTCGAATACAACAGTCGAACGCTTATTTTCATCGACGAAAATTACAATGACGGATCGAAGAACGCGTCTGGGAGCACAAAAGGTGAGATATCTGATATTTCAAGAATATTCAACGACTTATTGATTGATGCTAACTTATCCGACACATGCTATAATACTTTATAGGTAGCTAAACTGTTGTTCATCCAGAAAAATCTTCTTACACTCAAAAGTCTTTACGATAAAGACATTGCTAAAGTCTCCATTCATCCAATAACGACAAATGATAAACGCGGTCATATCAACGACGAAAACGTCTGTTCGCCACATGAAACTCCAAAAAAGCAAAAAAAGATTCCGAAACTGCAAACAAGGCTGATCAACAATCATCCTCTGCGTATGAACAATCAATTAGTTTGTTTTCCCTGCTGGAATAAAACGGCATCGTCTTTAGTATTTGGTTATTACTATTTTTATTTGTGTGTATGTTTTGTTTTGTACAGAAACTCACTACGACATAGTGACTTACATTCTATATGAAAGTGTATAAATAAATCAATTGACGAACACTTGTGAATACACTTATTTTTAACATAAAATATGACAGTCATTTCATTAGCACTCGATTATGCATTTTTTTAAATCTCTGTGGTACTTGGTCCCGGTCCCAATACCTGCCCCAATACCGGTCCCGATAATCTCTACTGCGTACAAGCGGCCATTAACGATTTTGAGCTATTCATGGCTCTATTCAGATGGCTTGTATACATTAAAATTAATATAAATCAACAATACTTATTGTATAATATACAGAGATATGTACAGTTGAATATGATTTGTGCCGGAGTTAGTCTAAGTTTTTTTGTTACGCTTTGAATCAAAGTGTAATTCGAAGTTTATAATTAATATTAGCATAATGTGTCGAATGCTTTGGAGTGGAATTTGAATTTCGTTCCTTGATAAATTGGATATTCTCGATGTTTGAGGGTGAGGGTGAGGGTGAGGGTGTAGATGTGGGCGATGATTAAAATGAACACAGAGATCAGAATGAAGGTCATATGATCATGTAGGCTCTTACTTTTATGTTCAGCTCTATCTTCATCCTCAACAGCACTTGCTTTCATTGATAAGATTGTGAAAATCAAAATTTTAAGGTTTTCTTATAAAATGTAGGAGAAGGCAAAATAATTTTATTTTGTTCTGTAATATAAATATACATAGAATGTGGATTGATATTGAACGGAAATTTAGGGATAGGATACCAACTGCCCGGGGATTTTCGAGCAAATGAGTCGATTGTCATTTCAAAATCCTATATCATTTGATTTCGAAATTTACTTTTTAATAAACTAAGATCTCCAATTTCAACAGTAAACAAAAAAATTGAAATGTTTTTAGTTAATCAGTATTAGAATACCAATGAAATTCTAATTGAACAACAAGTAATCCTCATCTTCTAGTAACATACCCAATAAAATAACGGGAAAATTCTTCTGTACACAAATCGCCATTAAGATGATCAATTGATTGACTTGCTCGACCATGTCTTGTGATAATCTTATTCCTTGTATTAATGGAAGTAATTTTTTTATATCATTAACATAATGTATCTCATAATTAATAACAACTTGAATTTGATTAATTCCTTCATTTTTTATTAATAATAAATTGTAGGGATGTACCGAGACCGAGACACGACCGAGAATCTCGGTCGAGACAGTCTTGTTCTCGGTCTATCTCGGTCAAATTAATATTCATAAAATAACGCTCGTCGAGGGAGACTCGCATTACCCTCGACTGATTGGGTTATACTTCAGATAAAACTTGTGCTTCCAAATGATGTCTCGAGAACGGTCCTCGTCAGTTTCAAGCTTTTTCAAAACTAACCAAACAACTGTCATTGTTCTTGTTATTTATGTAATGTCCATTGTTCATGATCATTTTTCACACATGAAACAGCAATCCGCTATGAATAGCTACTATGATCCTTGCGTCTTTTAGTAATGCGAAACTCGAAATTTCGACTCAACTATTCAACTATTTTTGCAGTCTTTTTTCAATTATTTGAATATTCGACTGCTTTCCAAACTCTTCTGTTCATCATCACTGAAATGATGTCCCTTCAGAACCCGTTTACTCACTCGTAAGTATACGGATACTAGAATAATTGAACGGAAGGATAGACTGTTGAATTTAAGTTTCAAACGATAGATATTTGGTGTTATGACAATCTATGATTGTATACTTTTCCTCTTCTCTCTTTCTCTTCCTCTTCATATACAACAATTATCTGTTTGCTTCCTTCCTGTATGAACTTCGACATTAGCCTCTTAATCCATATACCCAACATAGAGATATTGATAGATTTATCTCTCCTTATGGTGTAACATTCATGTGATATTGATATCAGAAACGCACTCTTATGTACCACTG